AAAATGTTCTTTAAACCTACAACAAATATTAACTACCAACCTTAACTTGGTTGACGATACGATCGCGGTCCTCCAAAGAGCCGTGCTCAATAACATGCTGGATGACATAGTTGCCATACTGATCCACAATTAAACTTTTGACATGCTTGTGAAGCTGGTCTAACACAGGCCGTTTTTGGTCGTCTGTACAATGCTCTAGTACACGCTGAATCACTCTGCAGCCATATGGGTGCGTTGATAAATTGCATACCTATAACAGCGCCACTACCAATTCCGAAAGTAATTGTAATTTATTATCGAAAATTCGATTTCAAAGAAGTTGAAACACAAAATCTATAAAAGAATCAAATACGAAAAACGAAAATCAAGATGAGCCTTCAATTGCACATACCGTCATGTTGTCACCTGCAGGAACCAAAGCATCAATAATAAATTGTAATCGTGAAGCATCAACGCGTTCAATAACTTTTTGTACTACATGATTTCCATTTTGGTCCTTGACACATTTCAACACCTGACATTTAAATTACTTTCACGAAATGTCAATCTCCAAAAACTTTTTGCCACCCTGTGCACTCTACTATGGCAAACATAATGTACAAATTCTGCTAAGGGCAAGATCATACTACTTTAAAATATGCATCCAAAAATTCAAAAACATAATAACACAAATCTAATCACCTGTCCTTCCATTTCCTTTAAAATTTCCATCTGTTGTTCCGGTTCAATACTTTCCAGAGCTTTTTGAATGACACGACATCCATACATTTGCAATGCCAGTGACATAACATTGCCCTGAAAATTTCTCACATATGATGTGTGTGTGATAAAGAAGGTAATTAGTATTTCCTACAGTATGCTCAATATCTTTGCAATCAATATGTGCGAAAAAATCTTTCTTACACCACCAATAATTACTTTATACAGATATCACACATTTCTACAACTTATTAATCAGTAGATGTTTAACAGGTACCTTTACGGCATTTGTGAGAATATTCTTTTGCTCGTTAGTCCCATACTCAAAGAATTTTTGTATTACATAATTTCCAAAAACATCGGTCATCAAAGATTGCGCATGTAACGCTACTTCATCAAATACTGCTTGCTTTTCCTTCAGTGAAGCACGCTCCAATTTTTGCTGTATGAATCTGAAGACAATAAATTAGAATACACGACAATCTGGAAGGATATGTGAATACAAACAGATCACTATTTCCAGATGTAAATTATAGCGATAAAGGAACTACTAAGCAGTTTTACCTTGAACCATGCTGGTCTTGTGCAAATTCCACAACATGTTTGCCAAGATCGATTAGTTGCAAATGAGGATTACGATTATTGCGAAAATCATCTAACAGATGTGACCTGGTCTGTCTTTCGCCATCAGCCGAAGCATATCCTGAAGCAAAAAGAGTCATTAACAAAAACCACTTCATTAGTCGTTCAGAACATCCATGTTTTTAAATGAATAAATATAGTGAACATCATACATCACCCGAAGATTTCGATTCACAGAATCTTTAATGACCAGAGAGTTACCAGAGTAAAAATTTATTAAAAGGAACCCCACCCACGCCTTATATATTTAATCATGAATATCTGCTACGTGCTTTACTCTTCAAATTTTGCATAAAAAGTTTGCCTGAATAAATAAGAGTATGCATGTTAATCAAAACCTTCCCGTGTAACTGCCAAATCCACATTAATTTTCCTGTCTATTTAACTTTTATATTATCATAAAAAAGTCATATGCTATAGTACCCTGCAAAATAGGTTAGATCAATGAAGAAAAAAAAAATGTCATAAATAATGAATGAACAGTTCCGACCTCGACCTGAAACTGATGAAATGTTTCTTCGATTGTTATGAACAGCGACGTTGTAGGGCATTTGCGCAATGGTATTTTGTTGAGGAGCGTAAGTAGAACGAGGAGCAGGAGGTGCTGGAATATGAGCACCAGATGACGAACCTGGAAACATCGATGGAGGATTGTACGTCGTTGAAAATGCATTACCTGTAAAGAGAATATTAACCTTCTTCTAGATATTTTTCTGTATTCTGAATTAAATGGCATATTTTCGTCTTGCTGACGAAAAACTATCCACATAATGCTCTCCAATAACCAGAGAATTTTTTAGAAACTGCACACATTTAGAAATCTTCGATTATATTTAGCAAAAAATACCTTTAGTTGCTAATAGTAAAAATTATTTTTAGGGCTATTTAATTCAATAAATCCAGCAAGTGGACAGCAAAAATAATTTAACTTTTGTGACCGCTAACTATAATTACTGGCACAAAAGAAAACTTGGTCAAATGGATCACATCAGTTCACTAATGAGAAAAAAAATATGAAAAGATGGAAGCAAAAAGGACAAACCGAAGAAGTTGGGACTTGAGCCCAACGAACCAGCTGATGGTGTTTGAGGAAAATTCATGAAAAGATACTGTTGCTGCGGTTGCACCCCGTAGGATGGTGCACCAACTTGTCCATTTGAAGTGAATGATTCATTTCGAGTTGTTGGAGTTGATTGAGGTGGACCGATCGACAGATTTGACAGACTAGTAGTCAAATGACTGATTGCAGGTTGCGTTGTATAACCTAGCGGGAAGTGAAACGCACCAGGTGGTGAAGACGAAAAAGAGCTGAGGTAGGCGGTGTACCGCGAGCTCCTAAAAATAAAGCAGTTTTGAATATTTGGATTTAAACCAAATAAAGAAAGCTCTTAAAGCATTTCATACAATGCATATTACAGTACCACTCTTTGAGCAATCTTTGAGTATTTCGAAAATAAAATACACAGCAGAAGCTAACCTCCGATATTTCCATTTATTGCAAGTGCTGGTTCCGATGCGGGTGGAAGATTTGACGCTGCTCCACTATTATACACGGCAGTAAACGAGCCATAACCATATCCAGTTGGAGTTGTTCCAAACGGTGCTGCTGTCTGTACGCTTCCCGGATAAATGATCGAATTTTGTTGTCCTTGTAGCATATAGGGATACTGAAATTAGCATATTCATGATCATTTAAAATAAGACTTCGTACTTTTTCTTTTACTTTTTTTTTTTTTATTTTTTGAAGCCAACAATACAAACGACTGAAGTTACACAATATTGTTTTTTGATGTCCGTAAGAATTACAGTTGATGAACGAAATTTATTACACAAATGAAGATCTATGATCAAAATTAAATGCTACAATACGAAAACCACATATCTGTACGATTAAAGAAGAAAAAGGAAATGGTTTTGTAATATTAATTTGAACGACTGATTGTGAGATGCCCAGGAGAAATAAAATGGGTAACACATAGTACAAATGAAATATAACTGTAATAAGAAAAAGTACATCCTTACAAGATAAGTCAATCAGACATGAATAATAACTCGTCAGTGCACCCATCCTTCGAGGAATAAAAATATAGAGATGGTCCATGGAGCACTTTGCAAAAGCCTCGGAATGCATTGGAAATTGAAAGAAGAACAGCAAACTGTTAAATGGCATATAGCCAAAACCGATATTAGAAACAGACAGAAAAAAAAAAAAAAAAATGGCAAGATGTTGCTAACCATTGGAAACCATGAAAAGAGCATTTCCAAAAAAAGACGGTGATTCTCAGTGACTATATGTTGTTGGTTCGTAGCGGCTTACTACAATCAGTCCTACCAACGCTTACAGCTATTACACCAGAGCGGGATGAAAGAGCATAAAAAAAGTTGACGAGAGGAAAGAAAAAATAAAGAAAACTTTTCTCGTTCTGATGCCTATTATAGCAGAACTGTCACATATAGGCAGTATCATACCAACAGAGCAATCAAATCACAGCAAAACATCCTAAAACAAGTGAAAACGATGCCTCCTTTCCTCTCCTCGTTCTTTCTACGCAAATTCTCATCTCTTAAATACACTTTACAAATACGCAAAAAAACAGTGATGCATATTTCAAGATACAAATTATCGATCGTACAAGAACCGGCACCTATTTCAGCAACCAGTTCATCGCCTAGCCCGTCACTCATTTTACTACCCAAATTTATTAGTTTCTGCTATCAAACGTGCATCCTCTTGTCACCCTTATATACAAGCCAAAACACTATGTCTTTAATGATCAATCTGTTGTTTGATCCTCTAAACTTCTATTTTCATCTTTAATTTTCTAATTCATTTCATGGTCCATCAACAGTCAGCCATCTTTTCAGAACACATAGTTATATCAAAAGGCTTGAAATATTGCAACCTCCCCTTTTCCCTCTCCAAAAACACTAAGTTAGTCACTTTCACAAGTATTGCACAAAAGTTTAACAAAAAATTATAAGAGAGCAGTTAAAGCTAAATAATTCATTAATTTCTTAAAGATCTTCCAACAAAGTTACTCGATGAGAAAATTTTGGACTTGTGAAAGGGTTAGTAACAAAGACACTATATTTTTGGATCAAAAAACTCCCAAATCTATTCCAATATGCCTTGTTCCTACGGTGAGATGAAGATATTACTTCATTTTCTTGGAAATATCATAAATACAGCAATATATTGAATCTTAAACCAGTTAAGTCGTTAAGGGTCAATAGCGAGTACTTTAATATGAAAACACTTCCGATGAAAATTATGCAATCTCCAGAAATTTTCAAGTGCTTTGCTCCACTCTTTCTTTCCATGTAAGCGTTCTAGGCAAATATATAAAATCATCAATAATTTTAATACCTGACCCCACTACATACGACACTAATGAGATGCAGTATCAGCAATGAATGACTAACAGTTAATGGGAAGCACTTTACAAATACTTAAATGCACTTCACAAAATTTCATTTCTAAATAACTACCTACATGCAACATTTTTACCGTTCTGCCACAATTACAGGCTGATGGAAACAGATAATGAATTCATGAACTTGGAAGCACATTGGTAATAGTGAGAGAAAGAACTGTGTAGACAATGTCATAAGCTCTTTTCATTATAAAATTTAAAAGCACCATAATAAATTTCAGAAACTCATAGACTAACCTGAATTTCCGGTGTAGAACCCAAAGTAAGAGAATCTGCTTGCAGTTGATAGGGTATATGCACAAATGGTGTCGACGTGTTCGATCCCAACGTATCATTCGTCGACTTAACTGGTTTATCGTCATTTCTGTCAATCGTTTTCCCATCTTCTAGTTTCACAGCATTTATCTGCAAATATATATCCAAGTATTTCAATGCTACAAATACGTTTGCAGTTCTGTAAAACGAAAATTCGTCTTTTATCTCACGGTATTTCGAGTATCTTCCATTTGCCAAAGCTATTTGAAAATCCCTTTCCCTTTGTCAGTGCCATATATGTACAGAATAGACGAGGACATACGACATGTGCAAACTTTCATTTTCTTTAAGAAATGCCTTTTAAAGCTTTCTATTATTTCAGATCACGCTCATACAAAGCACTACTACCACCTTTTGTTCATAAGGGTTAAACCAGAAATATTAAAAAAATTGTTTCCCAGGCGGAAATCATTTTTTAGTAATTTCTTATATCATCAAAGTTGGAGTGGATGAGATAAAAAAAAAAAACTTATGCAGAGCGTAATGCGCCTTGAAAGTTTGGAAAGAGAGGAGAATAAAATACGGAGCAAATGATCCATATTTCTTACAATATATAGACAGTGCCGAGAAACTAAATCTGACGAATAATAGCACATTACAAAAGATTCTTCATAAGGCCTATATTCATGGGTAGTTAAATAGTAGAAATGTAGTTATGCTGAGAATGATTGGCATGTCTGAGCCAAATTCTTTTACCTAGGGATCACATGTTCATCTGGGTACGCGGTTGTGGTAAAGTAGTTTGGTTCCTATTCATTTAGACGTCTCATGAACATATAACACGCACTTTCGGCAATGGAAAACAAAATACACTGAATAAATGATGGATCAAGTGGCAACGATTTGTCATGTTCCAGTGATAAAGATGATTTAAAATATACAGATAAGCGAATTTTATACGCGAAGGCAAACACTCCGGTACCCATTCATAGAAAAATTTGTTGAAATAAATTTAACGAAAACAACACTTTCAAATTTTGAGCTATAAATAACTCACGAATTTTGTATCAGCATTCAAACTTCCCGTGGATGAGCCCAATACATTAGCGATCATCTGTGTGCAAAGTGAATTCTCTCGAGATCTTATAGATCCAGCAATACCAACATTAGTATTACCTTGCACCATAATCGGATTGCTAACAGCATGCTCTGCAAAAAATGCAATAGCAATACATCACACTAAGTTTTCCCTAGAAATTATAGCATCATAGTGTAATGGGCTTAAACTAAGTATGTCCGCCAGTTGCACTCTTAATATGAACAAATCCCAAAAAAAAAAAAAAAAAAAAAAAAAACTACGAAACAAAAGAAAACTCATCAAATATTGAAATTTACCAAAAAACTAACCTGATCGCATGCTACTCCACGAACTTGGATAGTGATTTGACCATTGTTGCTCAGCCATTGCCATAATGCTATCCTATTCTGGATATCGTACGGTACGGAAAATAGACAACAATTGAAAACAGTAGAAATACAACGCGCAACGCAGATATAATACAGTTTTGTACAAGACCTGTAATCAAACAGCTAACTTGCGCTAACCGGAAAAAAAAAAAACGCAGAGCGAAAATCAATCATGATAAAATAGCTGGTTGTGTTATCGTATAATAAGTGCTTGCAGCTTGACATATAAATATATGCTGCTATTTTCAGTGATCTCTCAAAATCAAAAAAAAAAAAATTCGAATCAGAAATTTCTGAAAACGTGCTATCTACACAACAGGTTATAAAATCAGACAATGTTGATAATGTCACTAATGACACGGTATCGATTATATGTACATAACAACCACATAAAATACCACCACCATCAGAGTGGCTACACTCGATAAATTTGTAACTTCTTTTAATAAAACAACGTGTATTCATCAAATGTCTGTGTAGAAATAGAAATCTACATCACTTCCCTTTTGCCAACATTTTCTCTTTCTCGCATTACTTTGACGACATGTTAACAAGTTTACAAACACGATTTAATGTCAGTTAGCAGGTGATTACCCCATCCTATCTCTCCAATGCAAACCTATCCCAAGCAGAGCAACAGGAACTGGAATATTGAGAAAGTGCAAATAGGAGGAGAAAACAACAACTTAATATTTATTACATACGAAATTCAATAATTCTCGTCACAATATCTTTCATCTTGATCATTACCTTTAAAAATCTTCCAACACACCTGCATCATCTTGATTACTCATCGATTATCAACACGTAATGTGCTAAATATACGAGTAAAGAGTGAGATCAACTAAAGCAAGACAGAGAGAGAGAGAGAGAGAGAGAGAGGATAGATTGAAACGAAATTATATTCCCCTCAAAAATACCAAATAATCGAGAAGATGAAAGAGAAACATATATACATGCACACACACACACACACACACACCACATACAAAGACCAAACTATGACAGAATAGCGAGAAGTTCGTACAGTCTGTAGCAGTTGGATATACGCCAAAAGGAAAAAAACCGGAGAGAGACCAAAAATCAAGTTGTAATAGTGGTTAGGTTGCAAAAAGCACTTATGGCATGATTTGAAGGTTAAAAGTATATTACGTTTAACCAAAAATTGGTCAAAAAAAAAAAAAAAAAAAACCTATAAATATTAAAGAACAGATTATGAACACAAAAAAAAAAAAAAAAAAAAAATGTTAAACTAATTTATGATTAATCTAGCACACACTTATATACATGAGAAATAGATGATAATCTGAGACTTTCTCAAAATTTGCTAATGACTGTAGTCTTTTATCATCGAAACACCAATACAAAGATAAATTAGTTAGGTAAAATGAGTTAAAACATTTGAAATCATTAGTAATTTGATCTTTTTGATAATTACACAAGATAAAGTTAGTCATTATCAATCTCTACAGAAAACCATTCCCAAATAATAAGAAAAAAGCCTAATAATTAAAGTAACACTCATTAAATACTTGAAAAGAAAAAAAAAACAGTTATGAGATATAAAACAAACACATTAATAGTTTGATTCCATTTCAATCAACATATATCATATTCGAGACATTTATTTATTTTATAATTATTATACTTCCCAGAACAATTTTCCTAAAAAAACTTTAGCTAGAAAATCAAAATTTATTACTTATTCTAAAATATTTGAGCTATTATACAAGATAAACAATATTACATTCCAAATATTCTAAATTAAATAATACCAAATAGATATCCTTAAACATGCTAGAATTCCACATGCTAGAATAAATTTAAATAAAGCATAACCATTTAAATATCACCAAAAAAAAAGTATAGTGATTTAAGTAGACAAATTTTGAAAAAAAAAAAGAAAAAAAAGGTATGACATATATTAGTAGTTAAATTTGAAATGTAGCAATAATAACAATAACAGTAACAATATTTATTCTTTGAAACTTTAAAAGAAAATTAGTTTTTCTTAAAAAAGAAAAAATATAACACTACGTATTTCAATTTATCCAATATGTATTAAAATCATAAAGTTAACATGATGAAATTTTCAATTTCTTCATTATATTAAAATCGTAAAGCTGACATGAAGTTTTGTTGAAGTCGTATAGAATGAATGAATGAATGAATGAATGAATGATTTTCATTTCATACAGCTCCGTTAATATAAAGCAAACAGAAAGTAAGAAAAAACAAAAAAAAAAAAAAAAAAGAAGAAAAAAGGGCGAAAAATTTTTCAATAATAATTGTATCATTTAAAACGAACATTGTTTCAATCTTTCCTTCTATCTGTCAACCATACCTTTTGCTAAGAAATAATAATATAACAAATGCGGGATATAAACAACACACAATGATATTGTAACACAGGTAGATCAATCGATCAAAACATATTACAGACCATAACGGATTAGCAGTACATTTCCCCGAGAAATGATACTATTTTCCAACAACATTTCAGCAGGAAAGAAACCCAGACGAATTTCAATCGATTTAACCAGTCATTACAACATAAATAGGCAGACAGATGGACATACACACACATACACGCACACACAGACACTAAGATACAACACACACACACACACACATACATACATACATGCATACATACATATGCAGGCTACAATTAGAAACACGAATGAATGCAAGCATGTACATATGCAATCCACATAATATCAGGATGAACTATCAAGGTTGGATATTTAGAATTTGGAATTTTAGCATGCTGCAATTTATTTATTTCTCTCTGCTAATCATCTAAATTCATCAACAGATTGGCGGAAGATTAAAAAAAAAAAAAAGTTATGTTAATTGCTATTCAATTAGGAAAATGAGTTATTTCCTCCTAATAATTTGATAATAGCTTATATATCAGTCATAAAATTTACTAATTAATCCATCAACTGGATAACATTAAAATTTGAGACGCTATTAATCATATTGACATCTGCCGGATAGAAACGATTTTGAAATATTATATGAATTTGTTAGAAATGATCAAAAAACGCTCTCGAATACGGAGGGAAAGAAAAAAGAGGAGAGAGAGAGAGAGAGAGAGAGAGAGAGAGAGAGAGAGGGACTCAACCATCAACCATCCTATCCTATCAATAACAGCTGCTTCTACTACTACTACTACTACGACTACTCTATTACTGCTATTACTTACTACTACTACTACGATCACCAATACTGCTACTACTACTACTGCTATTGCTGTTGTTATGAAGGAAAGAGAAAAGAATTGAAATGTGTAAGTCTTGAGTATGACAAGACATATCTCGAGAACGCAGATGGCAAATGCCCAAGTTGGAAAAAAAAAAAGAGGAAAAAAAGGAAGACAGAAAAAAAAAGCAGAGAAAGAGAAAAAAAGACAAGCTGTGAAATTTCTTGGCAACAATCTACTATCCCTTCATATAACACATATATAATGTGATACGCTCATTTCCACTACAATCCCTCCCATCTTGCGCGCCATCTGACAACACTGCCCATCCACCCACCCACCCGCCTACCTACCCAGGCTTCAGGGTAGAATCGATAGACGATGACTCAATGAATAAAGTAAATAGTGGAATAAGCAGACAGTCAAACAACACCTCTTCCCCTCCATCTCTAGATGCCACACTAAAGTATGACGTGACAAGATAATATCTTCTTGGACTTCATAGTTACGAAAGTTTTGTGGTACTTGCTTTCTTTTTAGGACTAATATTACCGATAATCGTTTCTAAACTTTTACCATCTTTTGCAGCATTCTAACATCATATCATAATATGCTACAATCTGTATAGCACGAGAATTATACGATGATGGATTGATTTTACATTATTGTATGTTATTTGATGAACTATATATCGTTAGCATAAGAGAAGCATAGAGAAGATAAACATACTAAAAAAAAATTTCTAACCTTTTCATAATTAATCATAAACTAAAAGAATTTAAATAAGATATGATTAATCGCTGCAGATTAGTAATTAATGAAACAACTACATCTAATAATTATGTGTGCAATAAACACTAACATTAACCAAATTAATCGATGATTAATTGTTAAGAATGCACTAAAGAAACTGAATATTTAATTAATACATACAGTAACAATCAATTAATGAGACAAATTTCTCTTACTATTACTATTAACTAATTACATTTCTAGTTTTGGCTATCATATACGTTTTATTACAGTGATACATATATCAACACATGCATATTGTACTTAACACTAGCATATCCATGTTCTATGTAACACTATTTCAAACACATTCAACACATCACGCATTTACGCATTCACTTATCACACAGTTATGCATCACGTTCCACGTATCACATACTTACACTCCCTCATGTGCAATTCACGTTCAATACACCACGCACTCACGCGCACATCCATGTTACACGCATTACACAACCATGCACCACGTTCTACGTGTCACCCATACATTCACGCACCACGCACGTACGCACGTGGCTCAGTAGCTCACCAACCTCAGTTCCCATGGTGATCGCAACTTCCAAGACTGAAAAAAAATCTGGCGAGATGCCCATGCCAGGATGCATGTTTAGACCAAATTTGCATTTGGTCGCGCTGAGACACACTATATCATCCTCTATGAAATACACCATCCTACGAGGACACTTAGCTGAGCTAAGCTAAACTAAACTAAGCTAGGCTCTGCAAAACTTGGCTTTTCTACCTTAGGCCTAACATCGATTATCATATGATAATGTACTGATATACAATTTCAAGTCATCAAACTGACCAGAATTCTTTGATATCGAATGGAATTTTTGAAGTTAATTTGTTATTAATTCATCTTTAATTGCTAATTAGATTGTAACAGTTTATCTTCTAGCAAACTGACCTATTGGTATTATATTTTCATGATTTATTTTCATGATTTTTTTTTCTTCCACAAATAATTCGTATTGATTTTGGTTCGATGCGCATTTTTACAA